GGTATACAGGTCATCGGCAGAGTACAGTCTGTCTGTCTTAATCATGAAGTGGTTCAAGAAGATTTGCTTCAGCTCGTCGAAGGAATCGACCGTCCCCGATTCCAAACGGTAGAACCAATTTAGAGCTGCTTCTGTGAGTGAGGAAGGGAACAGAAGGCACATGCCTTCGTCGCTTAGCCCTCGGCACCCTACTGCCGATTGGAAAGAATGAAGGTGCGTCAGTGGATCCTCCACCCCTGTGTAAGGGGTTATGCGTAGGGGCTGCACGTCCCTATCCTACCGTAAGTGCCTTATGCGATCGGTGAAGGGTCCTGGTCGGAGCCTTCCCCAGTCCGGCTCCTGAGAGCGAGTTCGATCGTCCTCCATCTTCTGTACCCTTTGAAGGAGGAGGCGGATGACAGGGTCCCGGTCTGGTATCTCCTCCGCCGTTTGATGCACCGATCGCTGCTGGGACCTGATAGGGTTTACTTCAGAGAATTTTGTCAGCGTTGCCGAACGGTAGGACGATGACCGTTTGGTGGAAGGAGCGTATTCTCGGTCAGACTCTGCCGTTGATTCCAGGACTTGTATCCTCCGTATTGGAGACTTCCTCCCCATGCTTCTCAGTCGGGGATCGTCCAGGCGGGCATTTATCCTGATCGGCGATTCCTGCCGTTCGGATTGCCGTTCAACTTCCTGCTCTAACAACCTGTGTCGGCAATCGGAATAGACCTTCTTCGGCACATGGGCCTTATTTTTTGGTGCCGGGACCACCAATTGTTTAGACGGCACAGGCGTTGCCTTTGCCACCTTCTTGCCTTCTTCTGCCGACGGGGGGTCTGTAGGCTCTCGGAAGATCGATTGGTCTGGATGTTTTGTGTTTGCTGTTGATTGAGCAACTGTTGTGTTTCGTCCACTCTGGACGAGAGGAAGTTGTTGTGTTCCTGCAGCCTAGCCATGTCCTGCCGAAGGGACATGACTTGGGCTAAAAGCTCCGCATTTTCAGCGGGTTGGAGTACAGGTGGATTAGTTGCCGGGGTGCATGGGGGTGGCGCTGGGCTAATCCCGCTAGGCATGCCGAACGGCATCCCCTCCTGTGGTAGGAACATTGCTTTTGAGTTGGTCCCCATGTGTTTGGGATAAAGGGTCAATTTTATCGTTTCCCACAGACGGCGCCAAACTGTTGACGCCAAAAAGTGGTTCTCTGACTTTGAGGGTCAACTTTAGTAATTTTATGCCTTCAGTATCCTTTATGCCTCGGTAGTCAACGTGATCTGCAATATGAGCAAACGCACGGTAAGACCTAGGGCACCGGTTTGGTACCGGCCGAAGGCTCTCCGATGCTTAAGTAAGTTCGGGAATAGAAAGTTTAACTGATAGATCAATAGGCTTGAATGCCATAAGTTCTGATTACCTCCATTTTGGGATAGTTGGCCTCCTTTTATAGGTCTTGGGAGGTGTGCATTTGTTGATAATTTCGATGTGGGACTGTGGACGTCGCTTGGGAGCGTGCCACGTGTCCCAGGAGTGGGCGTCGCCCTAACGTAGTGATCGGTAGGTATGGTGCCGAGGGCACCTCTGACCAAGCCCAATCTCCTCCACGTGTCCTGCTCTTATTGGCCGTTTATTTTGGGTGTAAACATTCATGATTACCATCTTTCAAAGTTAGCCTTGCCTACTATAAACAGAAAAAAGAAGCAGAAAAATATTACAATTTCGATTAAAATTTCGACTAGTTGCCCTGCAAAATTAAAAAAAAATTGTTGAAATTTCAACATTGAAATCACCGTGAGAAATACCAAAGAAATATAGGGAGCATTGCAAGTATGTGTCAAAACCTTATTAAAATCTTATTTGCGGACCACCATGGCTCAAGATAGAATAAATGGACTAGCTATATTATGCGTTGAAA